GAAAGTCTTGATTAAAATGTTTCTGAGTAGAGAGCTTTGTGTACAATGGATTCTGTGCCTCAGGTTCTCTGAGCTGACACTTGTCTTCCTATGACAGGAAGAGAAAGCAAAGTATTGAACTGAGCAATTTTAAACAGCGTATTTGCACTTTTAAGCAAATGGAAAAATGATAAGAATGAGATGACTCTACTCTGGGCTTTGTCACATCAGTGGTCATGTGTACACTCCTCCTGCAGGGCCCTTCTGAGTTGTTTTGCTCTTTTACCTATTCCTTTTCTTTTGTATTCACTAAAGGTGTAGCCAAATGTCTTGATTTCTTTTGAGACAGTTCTAAAAATCCCCAACACTTGAAAACTTGAAGTGAGAGAAAAGTTTGTAGACCCCAGGGCACCACCTTACACCTTTAAACTTGGGAGAGTGGGTTTGTTTGTGGGTTTGTTCCATGTTAACTTCTCGTGAACTTAATTGCTGCTTCTTTTTCAGCAGATTAAAAATGTCTGTCTGTGCTACAGATCTGAGGACAGATCAGTCTGGAGACTGTGGCAGAGAGGAGGAACCAGCTTGCTCTTAGTTAGCAGCCCAACACAAACCTGATGGGAAAATCCATTGCAAAAAGAATCCATTTTGCTTTTAGACACCACGCTGCTCTTGGCATTGATCTGGAGCTCCAGAGGCCATGGGGTTTGTTTGTGAGATCCTCAAACCCCCAGTGCAGCCTCTGGGTTGGTGTGGAGCAGCTGGAGCAGCCCTGTGGGTGTCCTGGGGGGGCCTGAGCCTGGAGGGAAGGTGCTGTTGCAGTTCAGTGATCTCCTCAAAATATATCAGGGAGAATCAGCAAAACAGTGGGGAAAACAATGGCAAAATTCCCAGCAAACTGAGGAGGGTGTGGAGTTAAATGGTTATTAGCAGGCCAGGCAGGTGTGGTGGGTGTTTGACACTGCTGGCATGGAAACTGCTGAGGGAGGCTTTGCTGCTGCCCCATTGATTTCAGCTGCATTGGGGAATATTTTCTATCTGTATGAGTAATGCCTGCCTGGAAGTCCCCAGACAAAGTGGAAAAATGTGTTTAGTACCAGAAAATAGAAAAGAAAGTTTCTCTTTTCGGGAGACGAGTGTGTGGATGGACCTCCTGATCCTTCCAGGAAGGAATGGTAACAGCTGGAATGAACCTGTGACAGATGTTTGTGGGGGGAAATAAGGAAACTAAAAGGAGAGAGAGAGGAGTATTTTTGTGGCTTTGGAAAGAAGGAAGAACTGAACTAGGCAGCAACAGAACCCAGCCAGGCACATTAGAGGAGCCTCTCTGGAGGGTGCCCTCACGTGCAGACGCTCAGTCTTGCAGGTTTGTTAGACGGCACCAGCAGAGCTTTTGCAGCTGAATTGTGCTTCCTGTGTTTTGTTCAGGTCCCCAAACCCTGATCCCATGTGCCTTCAATCACCTCTTGGCCCGAGCTGGCTGCAGGAGAGCTTTGGTTGTGGTGGTCCTGCTGGACTCGAGCCCAGCGCAGCAGCCAGGGCTGCCTCTGTCTGACTGGCCTGACCTGCCTCTTTTTCCCTGACTGGAGTCCTGGTCTGCAGAGATTTGAGATCCATCACATGGGACTGGGACTTCTGGACACCAAATTGCATCTGGCTGGAGCAAGTGTAGGTCTGTCAAAGCCTGGGCCTGTGCACACCACAGGGGAAGATGGATTGGTGCTGACGTACCCAGGGCATTTTGGACTGACTGCAAGTGCTCGATAAATATGACACCTTCTGGCCATGGCAGCAGTCCATGTACATGGGAGCTGAAGTCTCCAGACATAATTCTTATCACAGTTCAGTGCTTAAGTACTTGTTCAAACACCCCAAACAGCTTATGAACAATCATTCACCTTCCCCACCTCTGGAACCCTGAGATTTACCACTTATGGAATATATTTCAAGGTGACTAAGGGCCCCAGGCTCCCCCAGACACATTCTGCTCCCTAATTTAAGAGTGCTGCCTTATGTGGGCACCTCTCTGATCAGGAGTCATCAGGATATACTGACCTTCCCTTGTCCTTGCTCTGGATGTGGGATCTTGTCCTGTATCAAAAATAGCGTGGCCAGCAGGAGCAGGGAAGTGATCCTTCCCCTGTACTCTGCGTTGGTGAGGCCACACCTTGAGTATTGTGTTCAGCTCTGGGCCCCTCAGTTCAGAAAGGATATTGAGGTGCTGGAGCGGGTCCAGAGAAGAGCAACAAGGCTGGGGAAGGGACTGGAGCATAAGTCCTATGGGGAGAGGCTGAGGGAGCTGGGGTTGTTTAGCCTGGAGAAGAGGAGGCTCAGAGGTGACCTCATCACCGTCTATAACTACCTGAAGGGAAGTTCTAGCCAGGTGGGGGTTGGTCTCTTCTATCAGGCACTCAGCAATAGGACAAGGGGGCACGGGCTTAAGCTCCGCCAGGGGAAATTTAAGTTGGATATCAGGAGAAAATTCTTTACAGAGAGAGTAATCAGGCACTGGAATGGGCTGCCCAGAGAGGTGGTGGATTCACCATCCCTGGAGATTTTTAAACGCAGATTGGACGTGGCACTGAGTGCCATGATCTAGTAAGTGGACTGGATTTGGACCAAGGGTTGGACTCGATGATCTCGGAGGTCTTTTCCAACCCAATCGATTCTATGACTCTATGATTCTATGACCTGTCCAACTCTTCCATGGTTTTTGAGATGGTGCAGTGGGGCCATCAAGTTGTGTGTAGGCAGATTTCCCACAGTGTTACACTGGAGTATAAAAGGTGAAAGTTATGTTTCAAAGCTGTGTTAGGAGGCTGTTCCCTGTTCCTTGTGTTGTTCAAGACTCTCTGTGCTGACTGGGACTGCAGTGTGGTGTGGTACTGAGTGCACTGGCTTGAGCACAGACAAACTCATACCTGTGTGGAGACCTCCAAACTGCCTGGGTGGGATTGCATTTCCAAAAAACCAGAGAGGAAGTGGTAGTGGTGAATTCAAAGGCTGTGCATCAGGGAGATAAATACCCTTGTGTTTTAAATGCAGTCCATCCCTTCCTGCTGCCCAGTGGAGGGTTGTGCAAAGCAGAGTCATGCTCAGAAAAATGTAACTGCTCTTGCTTTGCACCCCTTCCTGGATGTCCTGATCCCTTCCCTCTGCCCCAAGGGCTGTTCCTATTCTCTACTACTTTTGAAAATCTCAAAGCATGTGGGAGGGAAGAGGATATTTCCAGGATAAATCCTCCTGCCTGGGGTGTCTGGAGCCCACAGCATGGCCTGTGGCCTGTGGCCCATTCTTTGTTCTTGGGATCTGCTCCCTTTTCTTAGGGTTTTTCTGCTGAACAGCTGAATGCACTGGATGGTCACACTTGAGAGCTTGTTATTTGTGACCATGAGCAGAGGGTTGAGCAGGAATGTCCAGAACAGCATCCTGTGCAGCCAGGGAGACACATGAACGGGTGTGCTCCTCACTGTCAGCAGGGAAGTGTAGCTTCAGCCTTTTTAAGTGAAGGATGCTGCTGATATGGCTGAAAACATCCTATGCAAAAATTAGAACAGGTATCCAGCCCCTGAGCAGTGATACTGGGACCTCTACTTCAAAATAAGCCAAAATTCCTTGCAAAGAATATGGATTGCTTTCACACTACGCAGAGGCCTGTTCATTTTGCATCACTAGTTTCCCAGTTATTTTTGATTTTCTGGCTGCAGCTGTGAAAACAATGGACTTGTGAATACTTGCCCTCTCTTAGTCTGGTCCATACTACAAACACTGTAATTCTGAAAGCCTCAGTACGTTGCGGCCAAAAAAAAATATAAGTGTTAGGGATCCCTGTGTAGAGCTGTGATTTACAAGCAGCAGGGTATTTTATTTTAGCTGGATATACAAGTTCTACTGGGCAGTGAGGTGCTCAACCAACTAGCAGTGGGCTTAAGGGTGCTAAAATCAGTGAGAGATATTAATGACCTTGGGTTTGCACTGTAAATTTGCTTGTATAGCCAAGGGGGTTGTCAGGTGTCAGGGCAAAGAGGACCTTTTGTTAATCTGTGCAGGGGGATGTGTAGCACTGAGTTAAGGTTTTCTGTCCCTTGGAAGGTGAATTCCCCACTCATCCTGATGCTCCAAGGGCAGGTGACACTTGGGCAGAGCTGAGCAGAGCCATGACTGGGCTGTTCAACATGGGGACACCCTTGGTCCTCAAACCCATCATTTTCTCGTGGCCTTGTTTACTCATTCTTTGGACCAGGAGGACAAGGGAAACAGGATGGGGATTTTTGGTGGTGGTGGTTTGAATCTCTTGCACTGTGGTTTAAATCAATGTTTTAGCACTGCAGGTCTTCTGGCACTGACATTTTAAGGCAGTGTCTCATTCTTCTCATTCTTCAGCTCATTTTAGAGAATATTCTTGCTTTGTAAAAGTAGGAAGTGGTAAGGACTGCCCCTGTCTGTTCCTGCTGCCCTGGCTCCGAGAGCTGAACACAGGAATTTTGTCTGACACCCCTGAGGCAATCCTGAGCCAGCACAGCCTGATTTGCAGGCACAGGAGTGAGCTGGTGTTTCCCCCAGTGCAGCCCTCCAAAATATGTGCAGATCAGATACTCGTTAGTCAGACAGAGGAAACACAACATCTTAATTAGCCAGGGAGTTGTTCTGGTTGTGTGTGTGCTGTATGGAAAATAACATGTTAAAGAAGCAACCACAGCAGAATAACTATTTTAATTTAGGTTTTTTTTTTAACCTATCAATTTTATTGCTCATTTTGACCACGAGCCTAAATTGTTGTGATTTTTGCTGTTTATTTGTTTTTTTTTCCTTTCCTTGGTTAATATCTATTTGATGAGCTGGGTATGACTGTCAGGTAGCTACAGTTCTGCACTTGACGCTCTGGTTGTGTGTTTGCCCAAAGGGGCAAGGATTTACAGGAGCTGATGGGAGCCTTGGCTGTATAAGGAATACAGGATGAGGCAGATATTCCACACAGTTCACCTTGTTTATCTAAGAGTAAAAACAAGAACTGAAGAGGGAAGAAATAAGCTTTTATGGGCTCTGAATGAAAATGGCAGTACTCCATCTTCCCATGAAGCTCTGTCTTTTCCCTCTCTCAGCTGTAGGAATGTGACATTTCTAATTTGCAGTGCTGTAATAAAAAGCATCACGTGACAGAACCATCTAATTACATCATCATTCTTTGCAAAATATTCCATATTTCATGAAACCATGGCACAGCAAGTGCAGTGGAGCCAGCTGGCACCTACTTGGCAGGAATTCTTTGGAGATACATTGCTTTCTTCTCTGTTCCTCTTATAACCTCTGCTTGTTGCTTTGGATGCTGATGTTCTGGTTTAATAGGGCTCATCCTTTTCCTGCGGGAACATCAGAGGGCTGGGAAGAAGAGTTTGTTCAGCTTTAGTTTCTTCTTACTATCAACTCTGGGTATGTTTTAGCTGGTTTATTTTTTCCCCTCTGGGTTTTTTCTTTCTGCTGTCTTCCCCATCAGAAGATGTGTATCAGGGAATGGGATCTCTTAAAAGCTTTGTTTCAGAATTTAAAGTAAACATTGCCTTTGCTGTATTTTTCCATAGCTAGGGGAAGTTATAGTGGTTCAGCATTGCTAAATACCTAGAAAGGATAAATACCTACTAGTGCCCCTAGTTTACAGACCTGAGATTCTCTCATCTTTTGAGAACATGACTCATTACCCCATCCTATTAATAATAGCAGTGGAGATGTTATTCAGTTCTTCTCACAGTTATTATTTGATAGCATTTACTTTTACCTTAATTTGCTTTCTTCTTTATACTTGATTTTTTTTCTGGTGCTCTTTCAGTAGTTAAAATCTTTTAAACTTAGGCAGTGCTAAGCTGGTGACTTGTAGATTTTTGACTGCCAGGTCACTGCTTTTTTCCACCTATTTTTGTGAAAATAGAGATGAAAACCAGCAGTGTCTTGGCCCCACTCTGGTCACTGCTCAAAGGTAGCTGGAGAAAGGCCAGGGGGTCAGGGAGCCTGGAGTCAGGGCAGGGCAGGGCAGCTGAGCACTTTCCCTGCACTGGGAACGTGCATTTCTCACCTTCACTCCCTGAGAATCCAAAGCCAAGATGCTCCTGCAGCTCTTGGAGCAGCCCCTGGTCCCACAGAGCTCCTGGTGCCTCCAGGGAGGGTTGGCAGAGTCATCAATCCAGTGCTGGAGACCAATCCCTAAGTGCTGTCCCAAAGCTGGGGTGAATTGAGTGTGAATCCAAGGAATGTTTCTTCATTCTCCCAACATATTCCTTTCTCAGTCTATATTGCTGTGTCATAGCTGTAACCTTCCACAAGCCTGTGTAACCACTCCATTCTTCTTTGTGCATTGAATCCTAAAATATATTGATTTTTATATTTTTAGATATAAATTAAGCTCTTCTCTACACATACTGATAATTAAAAAAACGTCACTTGACAGATACAGTTAATATCTGCTGGAAGATTGAATAAATCCTGATCTTAAAAATAATGCATTTTAAATTACTGAATATTTACTTACTTATCTTGCTTTTAAATTTATGTTTAAAATAAAAAAGGAAAATGTTTTTGAATTTTTTTGGGAAAACAAATAAAAGGGAAAGAATGTTGGGTATAGTTACCGAGCCCAGCCAGCTCAGCTCTCTAAAATCAGGCACCAGTGCCTCTGAAGAATAAAAGATGAAAACACAAAACAAATAAAACAAATAAAAGCTTAGAGCAGAAAACAGATATTTAATAAAAACATGTTGATGCTAAAAATATAAGCACTTATAATGCACTCTAAACAGAGTGAGGGAATCAAATATTCAGAGCAAAATTTTTCTGTTTCCTGGTGGAATCAGGTTTTGTGTGAAAGCAGTAATTGCTTGTTTTACTCTGGGCTGTTTGTTTGTGCCAGAGCTGGGGGGAATCTGGGACTCCACGCGGGGGGAGTGGAAGGCTTAGACAAAGTTTATTAAAGAGCCCTGCCCTTGAGTCACGAGGTGCAGAAAGGACTCCTGCTTTCTAAACCCCTTCTCAGAGAGGAGTCCGGGTGCAGCTGGGTTCAGTTTTAGCCTTGGATTATGTCAGAGATTTAAATTTAAGGAATTATAGAGCTATGATTGAACCACTTTTGTCCTGCAGGTTCTAATGACTGGCAAAACGAGAATATTTCTATAAAATGAATCATTTCTTATTACAAACGATCAGATAAAAGATCTTAATCAGAACTATTTACTACACAATATAAAAGCTAAAACTACTAGTAGTATAGTATAGTATATGATAGTGTACATATTGAAGCAATTATTGAAACAATCATATTAAAGCTGGCAAAAAGAAATAATTGTTAAGTGGAGAGCTGATGTAACTCACCCAGACCAACAGTCATGGGGAGATCTCTGCTCTCACCCTCAAGGAGAGTCCTTGGAGGACATCCCCACCCAAGGGAGGAATGTCCACACACCCCCCAGGAAGGGTTATGGCAGAAGAAAACTGAGTGTCAGACCTGCCTCCCAGGCTTGGTGCTCCGGATTTACACCCCCAATTAGTGTCAGGTGTAATTTAGAGATGTTTGATTAGCCTGTTGCAAATGTTTAGCTTTGGGCCAGTTTAATGAGCTGGCTCAGGGTTATGAATCAACTGTGTAGTTAATCACAGGGACAAAACTTGGGGCTGATATTGGCAAGTACAAAATGTATGTTTACAAGGTCAGACAGACGATATAACCCAAGAGTTCAACTTTTAAGGAAGAAGGATGTTTTCCTGGCTTAAATCCTTGTAATGGAATCCTTAGTAGCCTTTTGCTCACTTAAATAGAAGAGGACAGCATGATGTATCTCTAGGTAATGTTGCATTTCTGCATTTTAATGTTTGTTAAAAGCTGCATTAAAATAAAAGCAGCCAGCATTTGCATTCCAAGAGCACACACAGAGGATCGGGGAGGTCTGGGATCCCACAGGCAGCTTGTGTTGATGAAGTGTCAGGTCCAGGTGTGTTACACAAGGAATATTGCAGTGAAGAGTAGCCCACAAATATTATGGGAAGTTAGTCTGGCAGATATATTCTTTCGGGATGATCAGCTCATCTGAAGCAGCATCAAAGCTCAGCCCATAACATGATCTATTCCCCATTTGTTTCTCCCAGGGTTCCAGGGAACATCAGGTGCCAGGGGAGTGTCTGCACAATAAAGGGCTTGGCTGGGGAGACACGTTGGGTGGGGAGTTCATCTGCTCTTTGATGAGAGAAAAAATATATTTGGCATAAAAAATGGGAGCAACAAACTTGCTGTAAATGTATCTATAAATTGTCAGGCGTGATTCATCAGCTGAGGGGACTGGAATTTTGGGTGGTAATGGAATCCCAGGGAGTCATACGTTTATCAAACTCTACTGGCTGATGACTGATGGCTTTTACGAAGGAATCAAGCTGAGCTGGAGCTCTGAGATGTTCTGCCTTCCACAGAAACATTACAGGCTTCTTCAGGAGGTTACTGATATGGCAACTCCCTCCCACCCCAAAAAAGTACTTTACATAACTTATTCCTCATGTCAGTAGAAAGTTCTGCAATAGCTGCATGAGACACCTAATGACTAAAAAACGCTGGTGGAACCCTTGTACCCCAGTGTGCACATGGATACTGAGGCACAGCAATGCCTGGTTGGTATTTCAGCCTCTTGCAATGCAGTTCTTTCTGTCTGAATATCTGTGTGATATATTCCCAACAGAATATTAAACACTTAGTCTGAACAGACACTGGATCACTTTTTTCCTTGTGGGAATTCTCATCTATAGTACAAACCAGAATATTTTCACTAGGTTTGAAGACACTCTTCTGTATGCCAATGATAAACACAGCAGCACTATCTTCCTTTCCTTTGTCTTCAGACTGTAATTGAGAATTTTGGTTCTAGATCATAGGGATAAATTGGGGTAAACACTGTTTAAAACACTGATGGGAAAAAATGAGAGTAGCTATGTCTTCAGTCACCCTGTTTAGGAAGCTCTTAGTTAACAAAACACACAGTCTGTTTGCTTTATACAAGAGAAATTCCCTGAAGGTTAATTTTACTTCTTGTTCACTGTTACTGACCTGCAGTAACAGGAAACTTCTGTGATGACCTTACAAAATTGCCTGAACAAACCATTCTGAGTGATGCCATTTATTTACTTGCTGATGGAGCTGTTGTGTTAACAGGGACTGAGGGAGCACAAACTGGGCATGGAAGAGTGCAAATATATTTGGGAGGGGGCTGGTGGAAAACTCCTTGCTAGCAAAATCTGGAAGGCTTAATTATGCCAAAGAATACTGATTTTTACCTTATTCTACAAGAATTATTGCATTCTGTGTTTAGGAAATACCACAGTGGTGGTGATGCTGCTGCTGCAAAGCATGTGAGTAAATGCATGAAAGTGTTGAAGTTCATTTAGTACTTCACATGCACATATTTTGCTGGTCAAAGTCATGAAACTGTGGAGACCATTCTGATACTTGGTGTCTTTTACTTAAAAAAAAGCCCTTCTAATAAATTTTAACAACCTCATTATATACTCTTGTGATGTTGCAAGTAAATATTACTAATTAGCTACTAGGGCTAAACATTTTGGATCCTGGGCAATTGAGATTGCTGCTTATTTAGTTCATCATTAGGCTGAAAATATATTTTTCGCTGGAGTAATAAATTGGTTGGCTGCATCTGTGAAATTGGATTAACACTATGGTTTTACTGACCCTAAAAGTAAATCCTGATTTGAGATGGTTCCCTAAATATAAATCAGGATGTGTCTAGATTGGAGTTCTATGTTTGGGAGAACTGTATTTTCCAGAATTGATGATAAAAGATGGTTAGTTAGTAAAACTGAGCTGGATGAATTTTTAAGTGATGGGTCTCAGTCCTACAAACTGCAAGTTAAATTCTGTTTTGTGCTGAAGCTTTCTGTTGAATTATTAAGGGTTTGTGCTATAAATACTGTGTCCTAATAGCCATTTTTCCCCTTAACTCATCTGAAAGTTATTGTATATTAAGATGCTGGCTTCCCTGAGTACCTTGATACTTCCTGCAGGGCAGATAATGGTAAGTTATTGATGCATTTTGACAGCTTTTCAAACACATTGTCTGTGTGAAACAGAACCGTATAAAATTTAGCCTTCTACATTTTAACATGTAATTTGTCTTTATAGGAGCAGGAAAGGGAGACTGGAATGTGTCTCAATTTTCTGAGCAGCAAATGAACAAAAAAACCCTCTCTGTGAGCCAGTTCTGGCTGGCACAGAGGAGGAGGAGGGTGCAGGCAGAGGGAGCTCTGGGCTCCAGGTCTGAGGTGTGTGGGCAGCACGTGCAGGGGGGGACAAGGGGGGCTCCTCTCCAAAGGCAGCGTGGGGATGAGAACCATGACAGACTCCCTGATCTGCTCCCGGGGATGCTCCTTTCCTGGGCACCCCTGCCCTGGGATGTCTGGATTCCCTGTTCTCCCTCTTCCCTGGGCTCCTCTGTTCTGTGCCTGGGTTTGGTGCTGAGGGCTGGATTTCAGCAGAAATTGTGTCAACACTGCAGCAAAGCCAAACCCTCCCGTGTCTGGATACTCCTGCTTTTCATTTCCTTGTGCTTATATTTGGCTCAGAATTAACTGTAACAGGAGTCCTGTGTAAGCGAAAATACCGTGAATATTGAATATTTTAAGACTGAGCCTGGGATATTTTTACCCTTTTTTCAATGCAAGCTATTAAACCCTCTGTCTTACGGGACAATTTTTTAGTACAAGGTCAACACAAAAACTTCTCTGATGTGAACTCCAGTATCTCTTCTCCCTCTATAACAACCTCTCAGAACTGCTCACAGCAATGTCCAGCAGAGCCTTCCAGATACTCTAAGCCCAAGAGGAGGTTATTTTAATCTTCCTACCCTGTGTGACCAGCAGCATCCATTTTATTTCCCACATTAGAAGAGCAAGACTTTAATCAATGTCTGTATTTAAGCAACTGGGCTGTTTCCAGCCAATGTTTCAGTGTGTGGCTTAAATGAACACTCAGCAATAAGTGGACAAATACCTTCAGTGGCATCAGAAGGATTCAGTGGCATCAAAAGGGCTCAATTTGTCTTTTATTTACCAAGAAGTGGGTTTAGTCTCTGAGCCACCTCACTGGAAACAGAGCCCTAACATACTGCAAATTCTGAAACAGAAACAGGTTT